AGGAGTCCCAGTGCTTAACATCTATAAAACACCATTCCTAAGCATTTTAATAGCTACAAGCAAACAACAACCTCCCAGACTCCAAAAGGTAATTTGAGTCACTTCTGTTGCTTTTAGCAACTGCTGGATCTGCTATGATTATTTATTTCATTTCTATATTGCCCAATAGCTGAAGCTCTTTGAGCAGTTTAAAATACTACATAAAAGCAATACAATATAATGCAATAAGAATGCCATAAAAACCTTGCCAAAAAACATGAAACATGAAAAATTAATAGCCGCTAAAACCATACAGCGTAGAATGGTCCTGTAAAAGAAAAACAGCTGGCATGGTTAATCCTGGTATATCTTTCATAAAGTATACCTTTAAAAGCCTTGGCATAAAGGACTATCTCCATCTGATTGGCACTTGTGTTCTTTCATTTTCTTCTCCAGTAACATTAATATAATAAAATTAAAATAGCCCTGCTAAAATCACATGCAGCCTTGCTTGCAACTTCAACTGTTATGTGCTCAAGGCTCTGCATCTATAGTCCTGTATCTACTTACCTGAGAGTAAGCCCAGTTGGACTTAAACTCCCATTCTAGTAGACATGTACCGAATTGCACCGCAAACTAATCAAGATAAAGGGGAACCTTATTTGAATATACATTTGCTTTTGGGACAGAGAGTACGCACCTATACCACATCCCAAAGAATGTTTGTCTCCATCCTTGTTATTTATAATAAATAATAAATATTTATTTATTTATAAAATGTGTATGTCGTCCATTACTTCTGTCTCTGGATGGCTTACAACATTAGTCAGAATAAAATAAATTAACAATTCCATGCAGGCTGAAAATCAAAATACAAACAATAAAATCCAATTAATACATATTAAAATATTGATCGAATAAAAAGGTCTTGACCTTTTCATTTTAAATGCTCTGGAAAAAATCTTTTCAACAGATTAGAGGTTGCAAACATGCAACTCATTGGTTCTAGCTGATTCTTTTATAGAAAGGGGAAACTGTGGGAAGAAGGCAGGTTGTTCATCATAGGTGGGTGCATTGGGGCAGGTACCTAGCATACCTGGCATTGCTTTAGCCTGGCCTAGTAAGTGAGTTTCAAGGTCATCTAACATCTAGCTGCCTTTGGGTTTACTCTGTATTGGTCACCATAGTTACATGTTTTCCTGCAAGTGTTGAGCTTCTGTTCTAGTTTTCATGGTGAGGGCTGGGGTGGCTTGGGATGTTATGGCCTCCACGACAACCATAGGACTGTCTGAACATGTCATTGGCCAAACACATGCAGTGAACCATATTTATTTGGGGTGGGGGCAGATAGGAAATGGTGCTCTGAGTGCAGGAGCCCGATCTAACCCATTTGTCATGGTCAGACACTGCTAAGAATCAGACTGAGCGTAGCTTTTCTCCTCTGCCTAGTAAAATGGTCCTATTAAGACGGTTCACCTTCACAGGTTAATGGAGCCAGAGAGTGTCCACAGGGCTCTGGAGGGGCTTTCTGGTTGACACTCCGGTCAAGTCCTGATATAGCTGTGGGGCACAGAAATGGCCTGGACAGTTAAGATTGCTCCCAAGTGCCCTCTGTATTGTAAAGCTCATACGGTGGCATACCATGGAACTAGGAGTGACACAACAACATAGGTGATGTCTTGAGTGCAGATGGAAGGAAACTGGTGAATGCCGAGGAACCGGCCTCGACAAATGGCACGAGAAAGTTTTTATGAGAAAGAAAAACTGCAGTCAAGAGATTAGGTACAAAGCATGCTCGGTTGAGTTCTCAGGGGAACAAGAAAATTCTTTTTTCTCTTCCTCTCCCCCTGTCACCTCCGGCACCTTCTTTTATCACTTCACAGTTTGTTACATAGGTATGTGCCTACAGCCAATAGCCGTCGAGTACAAGGCAGCCAACACCCTAGTGCCTTGCGCAGATGCAGAATACAGGAAGCTTACACATAGCTTTATATGGTCACAAGCCTTATATGGTACACAGGAAATTACAATACTATTGGCTGTCGCGGCGTGCGTAACTACAGCGTGACCCAGCGATGCTATTGGCTGTCATGGCGTGCGTAACTACAGCGTGATCCAGCGATGCAGCAATGAACTCCCACAGTGAATGGATTTGATCCACATGTATGACTACAATCAGGCATATTTAGAGGCAATGAGGACAGCAAAGAAGCAACATCTCACTGAAACTTCAATCTGTCACCCTGAGAAGCATTTTAGGGTGGTCTTCAACCTATCACATGCTGACTTCAAAAACATCTTAGATTCATCTGTGGCCTGCTATAATGCATTTGCTGAGCACTTCCAGGAACAAATCTCTTACATCCACTAGTACTTAGGCACCAGAGTTAAAGATGTTGAATGCATTGAGATACTCAGAACACAGCCTGGTCCAGTTTTACTGGATGGTGTTCAGTTGGTTCAGCTCAAGGATGTTGGCAAGGTGCTTACACAGGTTCATGCAATTAGCTCTGTACTGGATCCTTGCCCCTCCTGGATTTTAAACCCAGCAACTGGCTGGGCCAGAGAGGGAATTAATGCCTGTTAACTGGGGTGGTCTCATGCTGCCCTTTAAGTTCAGCCAGGCTTCCCCCACGTAAGTGTCTACGACTACAGCTGTAGAGCCTTGAGCAAATTACAGCTGAAATACTTAAGTACGGATGCATGTGATTTTGTCAGAGCTATTTTAGTTCTAGTATACTTTTGTTACCAGAAATTAAAAGAAATGAATTAAACATAATTAAAATGAAATGTATAAAGATGCATAGAACTCAGCCCTAACCTAGAAATAATTTCCATTGAACTGAGTGGGATTGCATTGCAAGAATGAAGATCCATGGAATAAATGGGCTTTAAGCAAATGTTGAACTCAAGCACTTTTCTTCAATATAAGCAAGTGTAGAATAATGCATGTTGGGTAAAACATCCCGATTTCCAGTATACACTGATGGGATCTGAACTAGCAGTGACTGAGCAAGAACGAGATCTTGGGGCAGTGGTGGACAGCGCAGTAAAATATTGGTCCAGTGCTCAGCTGCTGTAAAGAAGGCAAACTCCATGCTAGCTTTGAGGACAAAAAAGCCCCTCTTGCTCATTGCCTGTGAGAGAAACAGACGACACCAGCAAGTTAAAAACTCAGCAACAACTCTTTATTGTAGGTGCCCACTAACAATATAAAGTGAGCCTGTTTCCAGTCAGGACCAGCTGCTACAGTCATTGTGCAACAGTGAATTTCTGTTTAGTTTTTGTAATGATTAGTAATGGAAAATGTCTTAGCAGGAAAGGTTCAGTTGCTTTTGTTCACAGGAGCTTCTGGTTTGCAATTGCCAGAGAGTTAGGAAGGCTTGTCTGTTGTTGAGTTCTCAGTGTCCTTCCCTTGGCACTGAATCTGGCTTCTGGCTCCAGGATTGGTTTTTGCTAGTCTGCCTTCAGGGTGTGGAAAGTGTGGACCAGGCATGTTCCTTCACCTTCATGGTGGGAGTGGTCCTTCCCTCTTGGGTGCAGGGAAATCCTTTCTTCTGTATACTGTACATAGACCCAATCCCCAGGTTGGTTGTTATGGCATTTCAAATGGAACAGGCAAGGCAGCTCGAACCTGTAAAGGAAGAGCATTGGGCACATGGGGCAAGAAAAGGAAACAAGCATGCAATTAATCATAATTTTAGCTTAACTGAGTAATAACCCTGGGAGGTTCTTACATTCTTTGTCCTACTAAAACAAATTTTATGTGATGTTAGATTGTGTTTTCAGTTTTTCAAATGCATCAGGACTAATGCTTTGGGAATAGTCAAGACAGAATCAAAATGAGTTTTTGGTCTTTTGTAAGCACTTATTAATCAGGGGGTGAGGGTTGAGATCTTTGCTTCTTGCTGTTAAAGTATAATTAAGAACAGAAAAGAAAACAGAACTGCCAGAATCTACCTTCCTTTATACAAATCTTTGGTCCAATTGCACTTGGAATATTATGTTTAGTTCTGGTCATCTTCCCTGAGAAAGGGCATTATTCAGTTGGGAAAAACTACAGAGGACAAGGAAAAATATCCAGGAGCCGGAGCAGCTCCCCTGTGAGGAGCAGCTATTGAGGAATGCTTGGCTTAGAAAAAGGGTTAGTAAGGGAAGACATGGTAGAGGTGTTCAGAATAATGCACAGCATGAAAAAAGTAGGGATGGAGACATATTTCTCTCCCCACCCACCCAAAAAAAAAAAAAAAAAATTCAAACCCAGGGTCATCCCATGAAGCTGACTGGTGGGAGGTTTAGGACAACTAAAGGAATACTTCTTTACACAGCATATATGGAATTTGCTGCTACAGGAGCTGGTGATGGCACCAATTTGGATGGCTTTAAAAAGGGACTGGATACATCCATGGAGTAGGAAGGCTATCAGTGGCTGTTAGCCTTGCTGGCTCCTTTACCAGAGGCAGCAGGCCAGCACACACCAGTTGCTGAGGTGCTTGGGCAGGAGGAGGTCTTGTACTCATCCTGCTTGAGGGACCCTATGAGCAGCTGGCTTGCCACCGTGGGTACAGAGTGCTGGACCAGATGGACCTTTAGTCTGATCGAGCATAGCTTTTCTTCCGTTCTTCTGGCAGTCACATGCACTTTGATGGATGCAGCATTGGGCTGAATGAGGCTTCCTCCCAGAAAACGGCACACCGGAAGCCGCACCGTCCACCGCTGTTGAACGTCCCTTTCTACGAGGGATTCATGCAGTCCGGAGGAGCTGGTCCCTGAAGAGGAGTCCCTGCGGCTCGGCACCACGTCCCGCCGGCAGCGCGCTCCGCCCGTGGGGTCAGCTGTGCAGCCGCGCCGCTCTCGCCGCCACGGCCGCTCGCTAAAGGGCACGTCCCCGCGTCGTCTCCCTCTGCTGGCGGAGCGCGGCAAAGCGGCTCCGCTGGGCCACGCCGGCCCGTCGCAGAAGCGCCAGGAAGAGGAGAGGGAGGGCCCCGCTGCGCCCGCCCCGTCCGCCTGCCGGCTCGGCCATGGCGCGCGTTCTGATCGTGGGCGCGGGGCTGGCGGGCAGCCTGTGCGCCGCGCTCTTGCGCAGGGAGCTGTCGCCGCGCGGCCTGCGCGTCGTGGTGTGGGACAAGGCGCGCGGCGCAGGTGGGTAGCTCGCCGCCGAGCCGCAGGCCCCTTCGAGAGGGAGGGCAGGCTGCGGGCTCTGGGAAGAGAAGGGAAGGCTCAGCTGGGCTGTCAGGCGGCGCCGGGGAGCAGAGGACCGCCCACACAGCGCTGCGGAGCGTGTGTCATCGGCGTGTGCCTGCTTGCTCGCAAAGCAGCCCCGCTGTCTTCGAGGGGCTTCCTCCCGCTGTTGGAGGAAGAAACCGGAGGACCGCCGTGCAGCCAAAGCCCAAAACTGCTGCATTCAGAAGTTAGCTCTCGAAGGGCGCTTCCTTCCTGCTATAAGTGTGTCCAACGCACGATTTCATAATAGTAATTCCTATTTGGACTCGGAGCTAAAGACAGACACCACTTTAAATCTGTGTCTAGTAGCTAAGTCAGGCTTCTTTTTTATGGTAGAGTCGGTGCATTTTTGTGGCAGATTTGGAGTGAGAATCTAGCGCGCACTTACGATGGCTCTTAAGAGCTGGATCGAGGGCCCTGTGCCTATTCTAGTGTAAAAGTGAAAAACAAGACGCAGGTGCGCAGTGATGCCTGTTTTAGACCTTGGTGAGGCTTATTTCTGAGTCAGCCACGTCCATAGGCTTGGGGCTCAGTTCAAGACATCAGTACACGAACTGCGCGCTCCCCAGCGACGGCTGGCATGAGGTCGGTGCACAGCATCCATCGAGTGCCTGAGCCGGCAGCTTGACGCAGGAACCCTGTCCACACGAGCCGCGAGAGTGGGTCCCCTCAGCTCAACGTGCTGCCGAGCAGATTGCCGAAGCGCGTCCTTCTCAGGGTTGGCCAGTGACGGGAGGCATCGCAGCCTGCGCTGAAGGGCTTCCCAGTTACTAGGCGCCGCCGGCCCTGCTTTGCCCCACGAAGGAAGCTGATTGGACACGCGCGGCCGCTGTGCTTTAAAAAACTTCTTGTCTCCACGCACGTGATTTCAGGGGGAAGAATGGCTACGAGCCGCAGCTGTCACGATCCGAGATGCGCGGCGGATCTAGGCGCTCAGTACGTCACGCGGGTGCCCGAAGACGCCGAGAAGCATCGACGGTGAGTGCGGGCGCTTTCTTGTGTGCTTCATAGGTCAAGAACGGGACTCGCGGATGCTTTTGTCGGAACAGGTGGTACTTATTGCTGGCTGCTTTAAGTTCGTCGCTGAACGTCGTTGATATTTGCTTAAGAGACTTCTGAGGAGGAGAGATCCCACTTCACGAAAGTAACTCGGCTCCGAATCCTGCTAATGTGAGCTTACTGAAACTTTGAATAGAAATTAAGAGTGCATCCTGCCTGGTAGGACAGCAATTTTTCTGGGCGGGGGGGGGGGGGGGGGGGGGGTGGGGGTGATCATTTCAAAAGAAAAAGCTTTTCTTTTGCATTTGCATGCATTTAATTAACTGGGGGTGGTGCGAGTACTGAAAAGCTCTGGGGCTCTGGGGTGGGGGTGCACACCTTTGCATATATTAAGCCATATATGCTCCAGTCTCTCTGTGTGTGTTTTAAAGAATGCTGTTCCCTAAGGACATCTCCGTGAAAAGAGATGTATGGAGGGCACTGGATGTCAGAAGGAGCCTTCAGGTTAAACAGTTTGGGGGAGGAGCAAGTGGGCCACAAGCCAGCTGATGCTGGAGGTCCGCTCCAACAGAGATCCTGAGCACCTCCGTACCTTTGTTTTAGCAAGTGGCAAAATCCTGCTTGAGGGCCTTTGAGGCTTCAATGCTGGCAGATCACTTTTTGTTTTTGCTCTCAGTTGTTTATCTGTTAAACAAGTGTGTGTGTGGGCATGTGTGCTGGAGCATTCTGCAACTAAGTGTTGCCACATCATAGTCATATCATATATTCTCTTTATTTGAAATACAGATACAAAGTACTTGAGATACAAAGTACAAATCTCTGTTAAAGTAATTGTTTCTGATCTGGGCCAAATGAGATTAGCTCACTGAGCCTGGTATTCTGTCATCAGCAGCAACTAGCTTAGGGTTGCCAATTTCTCAACCAACAGTTATAGGTATGACCCCACCTCAGTTGTGAACTGACAATTGTTCACAATTGAGTTGTGAACCTCAGTTGTGAACTTTCAGTTGTAAAGTGTGTGAACACTTTATCAGGTCACAATATTTCCATGCAATGCACATTAATTTCTGCACACCAGGCTATGGTGGATGGCACAAAAGCAGGGCAGTTTGGGCTTTCTCCTAGTCAGTTGGCAATGCTTGTAGGAATTCACAAAAGCAGTGCTCCGAAGAACACCCAGGTCTGGCTACAAGCTTGAGGGTCCCTTGACAAAGTGCCCTCTGACCACCCCTGCTGCATCTTGGGCTCCTTTAGGCATGGCTACTCGGTGGTGGTGTGCCTCCACTTGGTGTGCATGAGACGTAATTTTCCACAGAAATTAGGAGCAACATAAAACCTGGGCACTTCAGGGGATTCTACAGAATTCAAGATGATGGCTGCTAGCTGCCTACAAGCTGGTCAGACGGACTCAGGAGAGGTGCTGGTGGGTTCTGCTTGGGGAATATGAGCGGATTTCCCTACATTCTCTAGGCCTACATTCTCTGATTGATCTTCAGAGTTCTCAAGATCATGGTGCAAGGGATCAAGCTCTCTGCAGCTGCCACACACAGAGGCCTGATCCAAATCTGTGCAGACTCTTTGGAATCTGCTTTTCTAAAAAGAAACTTGTGTTAGAAGTTCCAAACACAAGCTCTGGCAGACTGTGGAAGCTGTCTCTCAATGTTCCTGTTTCTGCAGACAGAGACCATGGTTTTGTCTCAGACTTCTTCAAACAACCTCAAATTCCAGAAGTTAATTTTGAAAAATTTGCTTTCATTTGTCTTTCCTGAACCAATCAATACCCAACAACTTCATTATCATTGATAATTGGTATCATGTTAGTTCTATGTCAGAATTTAGATGATTTTATATGCTTTGAAAGCATAATTTAAAAAATAAAACAAATTTTTAAAAAATCACGTTGTTTTTATGTGCCATTGAGTTGTCTCTGACTTCTGGTGACTCAATGAATGAACATCCTTCAAAATGTCGTGTCCTTGTCAGGCCTGCTCAACTCTTCAAAATTCAAGTCTGTGATCTGCCTTGGAGTCAATCCATCTCACTTTGACTTGGCCTAGCACACTTGTCTTCTCCAGTGAGCCTTGACTTCTCATGATGTGTGCAAAGTATGACACCCTCAGTTTGTCATTTTTGCTTCTAGGGAAAGTTCTGGCTTGATTTGATCTAGGATGCACATGTTTATCTTTCTGGCAGTCCAGGTATTTGCAAAGCTCTCTTTCAGCACCATATTCCAAACACTATTTTCTTCCTGTCAGCTCTCTTCACTATCCAGCTTTCACACCCATACATAGTGACAGAGAATACAATAGTGTGAGTGAGCTTGACCTTGGTCTCCAGTGACATGTTCCTACACTTAATAATCCTTTCTAGTTCCTTTTCTGTCCCCCCCCCCCTTCCAGAAGCTCAGTTGTCTTCAAAGGGAAACTACAGCCAAGAAATTTGAAGTGATGGCTGAGCCTAGGTATGCATTTATTTCATAATTTCAGTTTCTTCATTGTCGACAGTAAAGTTTTGTAATTCTTCTGTAGGAATGATTTTTGTCTTCTTAATATTCAGCTGTGGTCCTGTTTTTGCTTCTCCTCCTCTCACTTTCATCAGGAGTCTTTCCAATTCATTGCTGAAATCTGCCAGTAATACATTATTGCCTGTACATCATAATTGATGTGTCTTCCACTGATTTTTACTTCATCCTCTGATTCTAGTCCTGCTTTCAATTTGGTGTGTCCTGTATACAGATGGAACAGATGAGGAGATAAAATACACCCCTTTCTGACACCTTTGCCTATAGGAAACCATTGTGTTTCTCCAGATTTTCTCCTAACAGTAGCTTGTAGTCCACAGTACATTTTATTCATCAGGTGCTGAAGCCCCCCCCACCCCCAATTTTCTTCAGAATCATCCATAGTTTCTTGTGGTCCACACAGTCAAAGGCTTTAAAGGGAAAAGGTTTCTCCTTCCCCATGCCTGACTCTAGTAAGGGGCGGTGCTCATCTCCATTTCCTAGCCGAGGGAGCCAGCGTTTGTCCACAGACAGTCTCCATGGTCATGTGGCCGGCATGACTAAACACCGAAGTGCACGGAACGCTGTTACCTGCCCACCAAAGTGGTACCTTGTTATCTACTTGCATTTGCATGCTTTCGAACTGCAAGGTTGGCAGGAGCTGGGATGGAGCGACGGGAACTCACCCCATTGTGCAGATTCGAACCGGCAACCTTTTGCTCAACCAGCCCAGCAGCACAGTGGTTTAAACCACTGTGCCACTAGTTTCTGGTGGTCCACACAGTCAAAGGCTTTACTGTAATCTATAAAGCAACATAGACTGATTTTCTTCTGAAATTCTATGGTGTGCTCTGATTGCCAACATATATTTGGGATATGATCTCAAGGGCCTCTTCTTTTTTGAAATCCAGCTTGAACATCAGGCATTTCTTGCTCCAGAAAAAGTAAATTTCTTTGTTGCAGCATCTTCAGCATGTTCAGTTGCCAGTATATAGTCCCATAATTGCTGTATTCTCTTGTATCTTCTCTTGCGGACTAAAATCTGCATCAAACATTTCCTGTAGGCCTTTGTTTTCCATATTTGTTGGCACATTCTTGTTAGGATTTGGACTGATTGAGGGTCTGCAGCTTGGGCTGAGTGTAGCTCTGTGGGATTAGAAGGGTCTTGCCCAGCCCTACCTAGAATTTCCAGAGATTGAACTGAGGATCTTTTGCGTGCAAAGCTTATGTTTTGCCAGGAGCTACAGATCCTGCCCGTTCCTCTGCCTGCTGAAATTTCAGTAGATACTGTTCACATAATTGCAAAGCTTTTGTGGGGAAGCTAGGTCCTGCACCCATTACAACCTTCTGTGTATACACACGACTGTGCCTATTGCAGAATCTCAGTGACTTGAGTCATAGCTCTGCTTCTCACCCATCCCAATGCTTATGAGTTGGCTTACCAAATCTTTTAAGGGGGCTGTAAAACTCTGATGTCAGTCCTCAGTGCTTTATTTAGGCTGAACAATAAAATACTCCTCCACTGAATCTTAAAATTCATTGTGCTGCTACACATGTGAACTTTTGTTTTTAGTGGATCTGGACTCAATTGCTCCTTAAGTTAGATATTTCAGAAGAAAATGCCAAAGTTCCATTTTGGCACATAGATGCTCAGTTGGTTGCTTAACATTTTAACTGTTTATGTTTTCTAGCTTCTATGATGAGCTGTTGACCCATGGAGTACTGAAGCCACTGACTGCCCAAGTAGACGGAATGGTAATGAAAGAAGGAGCTGAGAACTTTGTGGCACCACAGGGAATTTCATCAATTCCCAAACACTATTTAAAGGAGGCAGGTAAATTTCCAGGTATATTTGTGAAATATCTGCTGCCTTGCTTTTTGGGGAGTGAAGTGTGAGGAGGGGATAACAATTATTCACTGAAAATATATGGGTCTTGATACAGCAACAAGTAAAGATTTTTGAAACAAGGATCCTAAATGTAATATTATGGAAGCGTGTCCCACATTGAAAAGTGAAATGTTAGGAGTGGAGAGAAAGTAGGTAAGAATTCTTGTGTGATTTGCTGTATATCATCCTGGGCTTTTGATTTCCGGCAGTTAACAATTGCCATAACTAAATGGATTCCCCATGTATCCTTGTTTATGAAAGGGCTGTAAGCACAGTTCTTCTAGTGAAAACCAATTCTTGGACAGTCTGCAAAAGACCCTTTGATTTTGCATCTGCCTCTGGTGGATCCCAGAGTTCCAGTAATGTACAAAGTAGATCCATCAAGACAAGTCCTCCCACTCCTGCTGTATGTATTTATTCATAAATAAGTTTCCATTGAATCCAGTGGAATTTACTCTCAGGTAAGTGTATATAAGATTGAATTTTAGGGTGTAGGTACCCCCTGCATTATGAACGAGTTCCTTCCCTGAGAAAATGGGAACTCAACCTTAAGTCAATTTTGTATGTAAGTTGGATCACATAATCAGCCTTCCGCATGTGCGGGGGTTAGGGACACAGGACCCATGTGAAAGTGGAAAAAATGTGGGTATCTCTACCCCCTCCCCTCCCCCACAACTCAACAGTGCTTCTTTTTTGCAGGAAGGAAATGCCAGAGATTTTCCTCTCGGAATGGGGGGGGGGGGGCTGCAGGAAGGCATGCCGTGGAGGCCTCCCTCTCTACCCTTTCACTTCCCCTCTTTGTATGGTGATGACAATTTTCTGCAGTAATTTTTAAAAAATTAATAGGCTTTATGGCAGTTCATAAGTATGAGTTGTTTATAACTTTGGTGTGGGTAACTTGGGGACTGTTTGTATTTCTAAGATCATTTTTAAAGGGGATGTCTTACCAGAAAAGCACATAACCCACAAAACATTTTTATTTTAATAAATGCATGCTCCTCCCCTTCCCTCACAAGCACATGGTGAAACTGAAATGCAGCTACTGGATTTGGCCTACATATGCCTTAATTTTGTTAAAATATTTATATCCTCATACTTTGCTTGAATCAGCATGTTATTAAATATATTGTGGCGAAGCAGTCTTAGATGCAATTATAGTATCCTTCCCTGCCACTTTAGGATTTCAATCTGGTTATAGAACAATTCTATCAATTTGACATTATCCAGTCGTCATTAAAATTGTAACACCTACTTTTAAACAAAAACAAATTCTGAACAAGCAAAACATCCACAATAGCAATATCCAACTGAACTGACTCAAATGCATTTTGCACCTCCCTCAGAGCTGTCCAATATGGAGGATGCCTTGAGTACCCAATGCAAGTCAGGTGAACCAAGATTAAATTTGGTGGTCCCATCCAACTGAGGCGTGCATGCCAGCTTGTCTCCCTTCTCTAAATAGCACCTTAAATGAGGGATGTTTCCTTAGCAGCAGCCAGGCATTAACCAACAACAACATCAAGGCAGAAAGAGCTAAGAACTTTAAGGTGGTTGTTGTTAGTTGCGAAGTCATGTCCGACCCATCGCGACCCCATGGACAACATTTCTCCAGGCCTTCCTGTCCTCCACCATCCCCTGGAGTCCACTCAAGCTCACACCAACTGCTTCAGTGACTCCATCCAGCCACCTCATCCTCTGCCGTCCCCTTCTTCTTTTGCCATCTATTGTTCCCAGCATTAGGCTCTTCTCCAGGGAGTCCTTCCTTCTCATTAGGTGGCCAAAGTATTTGAGTTTCGTCTTCAGCATCTGGCCTTCTAAAGAGCAGTCAGGGTTGATCTCCTCTAGGACTGACCAGTTTGATCGCTTTGCGGTCCAAGGGACTCGCAGGAGTCTCCTCCAGCACCACAATTCAAAGGCCTCAATTCTTTGGCACTCAGCCTTCCTTATGGTCCAGCTTTCACAGCCATACATTGCAATTGGGAAAACTTTAGCCTTGACTATATGCACTTTTGATGGCAGGGTGATGTCTCTGCTTTTTAGTATGCTGTCTAGATTTGCCATAGCTTTCCTCCCCAGGAGCAAGCATCTTTTAATTTCTTGGCTGCAGTCCCCATCTGCGGTGATCTTGGAGCCCAGGAAAATAAAATCTGTTACTAACTCTATTTCTTCCTCATCTATTTGCCAGGAAGTGAGAGAACCGGATGTCATGGTCTTAGTTTTCTTAATGTTGAGGTTCAAGCCAACTTTTGTGTTCTCCTCCTTCACCCGCATCAAGAGGCTCTTTAGTTCCTCTTCACTTTCTGCCATGAGAGTGGCATCATCTGCATATCTGAGGTTGTTGATATTTCTCCCAGCAATCTTAATTCCAACTGGTGATTCATCTAGCCCCGCCTTTCTCATGATGTGCTCTGCATATTAGTTAAATAGGCAGGGCGACAATATACAACCTTGCCAAACTGCTTTCTCAATTTTGAACCAATCAGTGCTTCCATGCCCAGTTCTCACTGTTGCTTCTTGACCCGCATATAGGTTTCTCAAGAGACAAATAAGATGGTCAGGTACTCCCATCTCTTTAAGAACTTGCCACGATTGGTTGTGACCCACACAATCAAAGGCTTTAGCATAGTCCATGAAGCAGAAGTAGATGTTTTTCTGGAACTCCCTAGCTTTCTCCATGATCCAGTGTATGTTGGCAATTTGATCTCTAGTTCCTCTCCCTCTTCGAAATCCTGCCTGTACTTCTGGTAGTTCTTGGTCCACATACTGCTGGAGCCTAGCTTGTAGGATTTTGAGCATCACTTTGCTAGCATGTGAAATGAGTGCAATGGTGCGGTAGTTTGAACATTCTTTGGCATTGCCCTTCTTTGGGATGGGAATGTAAACTGACCTTTTCCAATCCTGTGGCCACTCTTGAGTTTTCCAAATTTGCTGGCATATTGAGTGTAGCACTTTACTGCATCGTCTTTTAAGATTTTGAATAGCTCAGCTGGAATACTGTCACCTCCACTAGCTTTGTTGTTGCTCAGACTTCCTAAGGCCCACTTGACTTCACATTCCAGGATGTCTGGCTTGGGGTCAGTGACCACCCCATTGTGGTTGTCAGGGATGTTAAGCTCTTTCTTGTATAGTTCCTCTAGCTATTCTAGCTAGCTATTCTCTGGAATTCTGCATTCAATTGGGTGTATCTTTCCTTTTCTCCCTTGCCTTTCGCTTCCCTTCTTTCCTCAGCTATTTGTAAAGCTTCCTCAGACAGCCATTTTGCTTTCTTGCATTTCTTTTTCTTTGGGATGGTTTTAGTTGCTACCTCTTGTACAGTGTTGCGAACCTCCGTCCATAGTTCTTCAGGCACTCTGTCTATCAGATCTAATTCCTTAAATCTATTTGCCACCTCTACTGTATATTCATCAGGGATATGATTTAGGTCATACCTGAGTGGCCTAGTGCTTTCCCCTACTTTCTTCAATTTAACCCTAAATTTTGCAATGAGAAGCTCATGATCTGAGCCACAGTCAGCTCCTGGTCTAGTTTTTACTGACTGTATAGAGCTTCTCCATCTTTGGCTGCAGAGCACATAGTCAATCTGATTTCTGTGTTGACCGTCTGGTGATGTCCATGTGTAGAGTCGTCTCTTGGGTTGTTGGAAAAGAGTTTTTGCTATGACCATTGAATTCTCTTGACAAAATTCTACCAGCCTGTGCCCTGCTTCATTTTGTACTCCAAGGCCAAACTTGCCTGTTGTTCCGGTTATCTTTTGGCTTCCTACTTTAGCATTCCAATCCCCCATGATGATAAGGACATCATTTTTGGGTGTTAATTCTAGAAGGTGTTGTAGGCCTTCATAGAACCGGTCAACTTCCGCCTCTTCAGCACCAGTGGTTGGGGCACAGACTTGGACTACTGTGATGTTGAATGGTTTGCCTTGGATTCGAACAGAGATCAGTCTGTCATTTTGGAGATTGTATCCCAGTACTGCTTTTCCTACTCTTTTATTGACTATGAAGGCTATTTCATTTCTTCTGTGGGATTCTTGCCCCCAGAGGTATACCTGATGGTCATCTGAATTAAATGCATCCATTCCTGTCCATTTTAGTTCACTGATTCCTAAGATGTCGATGTTCAGTCTTGTCATCTCTTGTTTGACCACATCCAGCTTGCCTTGATTCAGGGATCTTACATTCCAGGTTCCTTTGGAGTATAGATCTTTACAGCATCGGACTCTCCTTTCACCACCAGATACATCTGCAACTGAGTGTCCTTTCGGCTTTGACCCAGTCGCTTCATTCTTTCTGGCGCAACTAGTACTAGCCCTCCGCTCTTCCCCAGTAGCATATTGGACACTTTCTGACCTGAGGGGCTCATCTTCCGGCGTCATATCTTTTTGCCTTTTAGTACTGTCCATGGGGTTTTCATGACAAGGGTACTGGAGTGGGTTGCCATTTCCTTCTCCAGTGGATCACATTTTGTCAGAGCTCTCTGCTATGACCTGTTCATCTTGGGTGACCCCGCACGGGATAGCTCATAGCTTCATTGAGCTACGCAAGCCTTTTTCCCACCACAAGGCTGTGATCCATGAAGGAGTTTAAGGTGGTAGACAATCTAAAAAGCAGAGGTCTTTTCTTTTGGCTCAGTCTTATACCATACCTACCCACTTCTATCCCTAACTCTATCAATGGGTCAATACAGCTTCTTTACTCTCACAGTATCTTATGCATATAGCATGTCACATTAGTGGATATTGATTGATTGATTTGTTTCTAGCCAGTTGGCCCAGAAAGAAGAGCAAATGCATCATTTTTGTGGTACAGGGCTGACAGACTGATGAGATGGTTCAAGATGAAACAAATCTTGGCAGACTGATACTTCTTGTTGTGGAGCTAAGTGAAACAGGTCCACTGTTACTTAATTTGGGTCAAGTTCCAGTGAAATCTGTAGCTGATTTTTTAGTA